GAAAAAAAAAAAGGAATTAATATCCATAACTTTCCCAAAGTACAACTGTGGGTGGGATCTGAGAGTCCCAAGTCTAACTAAGAAGAGGTGATGGATTTCAGTACATTGAGCTCAATAGAGACAGCGCTAGGGCAAGTGAGAGCTGAACGGGCACTGGAAGACTCTGTACCTTGCTGAGGAAAACAAGTAAACACGGGCAAAGGAGATCCTAAGAAGCCTAGAGGCAAAATGTCATATGCATTCTTTGTGCAAACTTGCCAAGAGGAGCACAAGCAGCAACACCTAGATGCTTCCGTTAACTTCTCAGAGTTTTCTAAGAAGTGCTCAGAGAGGTGGAAGACCATGTCTGCTAAAGAAAAAGGAAAATTCAAAGACATGGCAAAAGTAGACAAGGCTCATTATGAAAGAGAAATAATTCCTCCACTGGACAGGCCTGGTGTGGAACTCCGTAGTGGATCTCCTGGCAGAGAGGCTAGGGGCAAGACTCAGCCAGCTAATCCAGGAGCAGAACATCTTGCCAGTAGGGTGCAGCAGGTTCACTTCCACAGGCTGACACAAGAAGAAGCCAAGTACAGGAGCCAGACCCAAGCCAGGCTCAGTTGCATGATTTTTAACTCAGGAGACCTGGACCCAGTAAGCTGAGACACTGCTAGACCCAGATCTATGAGAGTGCTAAGGTAATAACTGCACCAAAGGTCAGAGGACAGTGCTATACAAAATGACAAAGAGAAAAAGCAAAATGCAATCTCAGGCTCCAAGCCCACCCAGAACAAATGCAGGAGACACTAGCATAGAAGAATTTGAAAGTCACATTCCTGAAATCTCTGAAACAATAGTGTCTGAAGTAAAGAAACAACTGCAGAAAGGTATAGAGGAAATCAGATCAGAAATAATTTCTGAAGTAAAAAAAAAATGATAATGAAAGAATTACTAAGTGCTTCTAAAGAAGATACTAACAAAAAATAGAGAATAGAAAAATGATGGAATTCTTGGGCTGGGGAGATAGCTGAGTAAAATAAGTGCTTTCCTGGCAAGCACAAGGGCCTGAGTTCAATCCCCGGTTCTGAAAAAAAAAAAAAAAAAAAAAAGAAAAGAAAAATGATGGAATTCTTGAAGCAGATTCAGAGAGATGTACAGGAAATTAAAATCTGAATCACAAATTGGCAAAACCATTTGAATGAAAGTGAAGATAGACTTTCAGACCTTAATGACACCATTGCAGCTAGTGAAAAGGTAAGAAAAGATCTCTTAAAAACAACTAGGATGCAGGAAAAGATAATTCAACATCTACAAGATGATGCAAAGATGAACAATATAAGGCTAATAGGCATCAATGAGAAAGGAGTCCATACAAATGATATAAAAGGAATATGGGCAAAAAGGGCCAGCTGATAGCTCAGCGGACTGAAGCACCTGCTTTGGCAGAGCTGCTGCTTTGACAGTGACTGGGGTTCCATCCCAGGCTGTGCCTGTGTCAGCCCTACCCCTTGGGCACACTGAGATGTGGTTGAGACAGGGTGTGGTGGTGCATGCCTATATCCCAGCACTTGGGAGGCTAAAAACAGGAGAATCACTACAAGTCTGAACTGTGTAGCGAGACCCTATAGACTCTGTCCTAAATACAGAAAAAAAAATATGGGCAGATGTAAGAGCAGAAAACTTCCCAAATATGGGGAAACAATCTGACATTCAGGTAACCAAAGCATATAGGACTCCAAATAACATCAACCCAATTAAAATCACACCCAGACATATAATAGTTAAAGAATCCCAGAAATTCAACACAAGAACAGTATATTAAAAGACACTAGAGAAAATAAACAGATCACATTTAAAGGAAAAAAAACCATCAGAATAATGACAGATTTTTCTTCACAAACCATCAAGTCAAGAAGAGCATGGATCAAAGTACTACAAGTCTTCAAGAAAACAAATTCTAACCAAGACTGATGTACCCTGCAAAACCCTTTTTCAAGTTTAATGGAGAACTGAAATACTTCCATGACAAACTAAAGAATTTAATGACAACAAAGCCAACCCTACACAGAATACTAAAATATATTCTAGAGAGGGATCAAAGTGACCACAACTCCACAAATAAGAATGGAAAGAACACACCAAATAGGACCAACGATTGAGCACATGAGAACAATAGGTAACCAACAGCAGGATAATAACATATCAAACAAAAAAAATTTTTAAACATTATCAAACATTAATCAATACATCTCAGTTATAACCATCAATGTCAATGGACTCAATTCACCAATTAAAAGAAATAGACTGGCAGAGTGGATTAGGAAACAAAATCCAACAATATGCCGTATACAAGAAACACATTTAACTCATAAAGAAATTCCTAGGCTGAAAGTCAAAGGATGAAAAACAACACTATATGCCCCAGGACCTCAGAAAAAAGCAAGGGTAGTAATCCTGTTTGCAGACAATTTGAACTTCAAACCAAGAATGATAAAATGAAATAAAGAATGCCACTACGTACTGGTTAGGGGAAAAATGCAAGAGGAAAAGAAAACAGTCATAAACATAGGGGCACCCACCTATATAAGACAAATCCTAATGGACATGAAAAATCTAATATCCAGTATCACAATCTTAACAGGAGACCTTAACACCCCCTTATTCCAAAAACATAGGTCAAGCAGGCAAAAAATTAGCGAAGAGGTAGCAGAATTGAACCAGACCTTTGAACAAATGGACTTAGTGGACATATAGTGTTCCACCCAACCACACATGAATACACATTCTTTTCAGCTGCACATAGGTCGTTTTCTAAAATAGACCACATACTAGTCCATAAATAGAAATTACCCCATGCATATTATCTGACCACAATGCAATGAAACTGGAAATAGATGACAAAAGAAACATGGAAATTAAGTAACACTCTCCTCAGCAACCAATAGGTTACAGATGAAATTAAACAAGAAATCAAACAATTCAACAAAAATTCAAACACAACTTACTGGAATGTATGAGATGTCTTTAACTGTTATGGGAATATACCTACAAAGGGAGGCTGCTGAGTCATATGGAATATTTAATTTTATTTTGATGAATCTTTATATTGATTTTTACAGCAATTTGTATTTCCAACAATATAGAAGTTTCTTTTTCTCCTGTTGCCTCACCAGCATTTGATATTATTTGATTTTTTTTTAATGGTAGCTGTTCCTTTTAGTGTAAGATGAAATTTTAGAATTTTAGGGCTTATGTTTTTTCTTATTTATTTATTTATTTATTTAGTGTGTGTGTGGCCAGTTCAGCCCACCAGGGGGCGGGGCTGGCTGGCATGTGGTGCTGGGGATTGAACCGAGGTCCCTGTGCTTTTGCTTAGCTTAGCTTGTTCTAAGTAGGTGCTTTAGACCACTGAGCCATCTCACCAGCCCTATGTTTTTTCTTATGCATAAAGATCCTGAAAACTGGGGCCGGGAGATGGCTCAGTGGGATAAGCACTTCCTTGGCAAGTGCAAGGGTCTGAGTTCAATCCCCAGTTCCGCCAAAAAACAAAAACAAAAAACCTAAAATACAGGGAAGATCCTGAAAACTGGTAATGTGTTTACCAGACACCTGTCCTTTCCCTAACGGTGTCTATTCATTTCAGTAGCTCATCTCTTTGACTGGAACTTTTACTTTAGAGGGGTCTAAATTTTTTTGAGTTCTTTGTATATTTGAAATAATAGTCTACTCTTAAAGGAATAGCTGAATTTTTTTTCATTCTATTGTCTATTTATTCTAGAGATTGTTTTTCTTGCTATGCACTTTTTAAATTGTTACAGCCCTATTTACTGATCATTAATGTTATTTACATAATTATGATTATTTTAAGTCTCTTAACTATGCATATTTCTCAAATTTTTAACCTATTGTGTATTCCAACAAATTGTTTCTGTTTTAACAGACAGCTCTTGAAGTCATTTTGATTTTAGTTTGTATTTGATGATATATTTGGAAAGTATTTAGTTTTTAAAGCATAAATTGTCACACAGGCAAAAAATAAAATTAAAAAGAATAAACAACTTAATTAAAACTTAAAAAATAAAGTTAAAACAAATATTACCAAAAAAAGAGAGAAATGAAAACTTGTATTCTTCCTAAAGGAGAAAGAAAAAAGAAGTTCAAGGATCCTAATGTGCCCGAGGGCTCCTTTGGCCTTCTTGTTCTGAGTATTGCCTAAAAAAATCAAAGAACATCCTGGCCTCTCCATTGGTGATGTTGCAAAGAAACCTGGAGAAATGTGCAATAATACCATGTGAGAAGGCTGCTAAGCTGAAGGAAATGTATGAAAAGGATATCGCTGATTACTGGGCTAAAGGAAAACTTGATGCAGCAAAAAAAGGGAGTCGTCAAGGCTGAAAAAAGCAAGAAAAAGAAGGAAAAAGGAGGAGGAAGGTGAGGATGAAGAGGAAGAAGGACCAGCTAAATAGCTCAGCGGATTAAAGCACCTGCTTAGGCAGATGCAGGGTCTAGGGGTTCCATCCCTGGGCCTGACATGCAGGCTCTGTTCCAGGGGTGCACTGAGATGGCAACTGAGATTGGGCGTGGTGGCGCCTGCCTGTAATCCCAGCACTTGGAAGGCTATGAATAGAAGAATCACTGAGTCTGATCTACATAGTGAACCCCTGAACACCCTGAAAGGCCCTTCCCTAAATACAGAGAAAAAAAAAAAAAAAAAAAGAGGAAGAGGATGAGGATGAAGAGGATGATGAATAAATTGGTCCCAGCAGGTTTTTTTTTTTTCCTACCTCTAAATCATTTAACCCCCCCTGTACACAACTCACTGGTTTTGAAGGAAAAAAAAAAAAAAAAAGAAATGTAAGGCTGTGTAAGATTTATTTTTAAGGGCAGGGGAGATGGCTCAGTAGAATAAGCACTTCCCTGGCAAGCATAAGGGCCTAAATTCAATCCCCAGTTTCACACCCAAAAAATAAAGATTTCTTTTTAAACTGCACTCTGTGTGTGTGTGTGTGTGTGTGTGTGTGTGTGTGTGTGTGTGTGTCTTTAGATAGCCCTGTCCTGGTGGTATTTTCAATAGCCACTAACTTTGCCTGGCACAGTATGGGAGTTGTAAATTGGCATGGAAATTTATTTAGTTTTGGCCAAACTTTATTTAGTATTCTATAGTTGTTTAACACACACTTACTGGGGGAGGGGAAAAGGGAGGTTCTTGCAGATTTCCAAGGAAATGTCAAAAAGGCAAATTATGGGCAGCATAATCCATTTGCTTTTGGGTTTACTGGATGAATCGCACTTTCCTTATATAGGTATCTGATTTGACGCCTTTTCATACTGAGAACATGGAGATTCCAGTTGGAAAACACCCTGAAATCCTAAGAGTAGCATACCCCAACCACCCTCTAATAGCTAGCTTGTCTGTACAGGTAAAATGGTTCATCTCTCAATGGAGATCATTGTACATCTAGATGGCTAGATGTTTGTGGAGCTCAGAATTGCTTGTCTTATTTACTGGGGGAAATAAATCAAGTAGGAAGTGGCATTTAGAGACACTTACTTGGAAAATTACAACACCAGTACAACAAGTCAAGCCTTACACACTTAAACATTTGCTTGTTGAGAGCAAGTCATAAAATCAAATAAAATTAAACATGTTTTACTTTTCTTTCCTCACAAGAACATAAAAATTATATAGGGGAACTTAACAGGAAATTTAAAAAAGGTAACACAATTTTCCTTTTAGTAGTCCTTGGGTAGTTATGACAGAATAGTTTCCACTTTTTGTTTGTTTCTTTGAACGGGGATTTTGGTCCAAAGTTTTGTTTGTTTCTAGTATCTGCTTCTGCCTCCGCCTCTATCAGATCGGCTTCCTCCTCGGCCACCACCTCTTGGTGCTCCGCGGCTTGAACTGCTGTAGGAATCACGAGGAGGAGGGTACCCCCTTTCCATAGAAGGGGGAAGCCCTCGTTCTTGTCTGCCAACCCGATCACGACCACTTGAGTAGAGATCACTTCGGCTGCTTGAGTAACTGTCTCGACTTCCACCATATCCGTCTCGTGAGCTGCTGTAATCATCATAGCGACTGCTTCCACCATAAGATGGCGGGGGCCCTCGTGTAGGCGGAGCACTTCGTGAGTTACCATAACTCTCATATGAATCTCTGTAGGAACCTCCACTCGGATGATCTGAGTAGTCACGATCCCGACCATATCCATCTCTATCACTATAGCCTCTTGATGGATAGTCATCACGTGAACTGGAATGACCATAATCACGGTAAGTATAATCTCTTGGTGGTGGGGCATAATCTCTTGTATCACGAGAACTTGGGTAATCTCTGCTTGAATAGCTGTCTTTAGTTGAATATCCATCATCTCTAGGAGACAAATAAATATCTCTGCGAGAAGGGAGGGGTTCCCTTCGAGGTGGGCCTCCATAACTATCTCTTCCACGTGATACAGGGGCTCTTCCTCCCATTCCACTGCTGCTTCGAACTGGTCCTGACGGTGCTGATCTTTTAGGAGGAGGACCCCCACTTCGTGGTGGTGGTCCCCTTTTCACTGGAAGGGGTCCTCTGGAAGAACTCATGTTAAAATTCATGGAATAGCCACCATCATCCATGTGCCCTCCATGTGAGGGAGGTCCCCTAGTTCCTCCACTTCCTCCTCTTCCTCCTCTAAGACCTCTGGGAGGACCTCTGCTTCTGGGAGGTGGAAGTGGTCCTCGTCTACCACTTTCAAATGATGGTTTGGTGGCTTGTTCCACTTTGATGGCTTTTCCATCTAAGGACTTTCCATTCATGTCCCTGGCTGCATCCTTAGCATCTGCTGGGCTTTCAAAGGTAACAAAAGCAAATCCTCTTGATTTATTGGTTTCTCGGTCTTTCATCAAGAGTACTTCCACTATCCGTCCATATTTTCCAAATACTGTTTCAAGGGCTTTCTCATTTGTTTCTGTATTAAGCCCACCAATAAAGAGCTTCCCTGGACGATCTGCTTCAACCATTTTTGCCCTGGTGAGTTGGAAGGGTGGTGACGGTTTCAAGCTCCCAGCTCGCTGACAGGGGCGGATCACACAGCCGGGCACAAATGACAACTACCAGTTACCAGCACACAATTGAAAAGCCGCTAGCACTACTGCACAACGAGCTTGGGATGGAAATTTAAAGCAGGTTCTTACTGGTGCAGAGCAGAAATTAGTTATATATAGGGACGGTAGTTTTTTGTCTTCAATTGTCTCTGATGGAGCTTATACGAAATAATTGTTCTGTTAACAAATACCGCTCTGTAATTTAAAAAAAAAAAAAAAGTTACAAATGCTTTGTTGACATTCTGAATGCTTCTAAGTAAAATGCAATCCTTTTTAGTTAAAAAAATAAAAAGAGGTGATGACAGTCTACCAGGTCAGTCATGTGATGCCACGCTAGCAGCCAAGCAGGGCCCTGTACCTCACACAGAGAATTTGTTCATCTACATTTGATTTGAAACCAAAAAACCACACGCACACTCACACACACACACACACACACACACACACACACACACAAACCTTTTCTTTAGCATCCACTCGGCCCAGTCCTCTTAGGGACTAAATGAGAGTAGCACACGGAAGGATCGCAGGAAATGCAGGACAGCAGCAACTTATATCGCACCTTTGGAACTGTACGCAGCCACCACGCTTCCTAGCCTTGCACACCTGAGATCCAGGCCACGAGGGACAGTGCTCGGGTGAGGATTGCGAAGCTCCGGGGAGAGCCGGAATCTGGAAGCGGAGCCCGGGAAGAGCCTGGCCAGCGCGTGACCTGTGAACTCTATTTCCCACAAGCCCGAGCGCTCGACTCTATTTCCCACAATTCCTTCTGTACTTCCGGTGCGGCCAGGGAACTGTGGAAGGCTTCCGGGTTTGGGCCTGGTTGTAGTAGGGGCGGTGGTGGCCGAGTGGGGCTAGACCAGCTGGGGCTGGAGCAGCGGCATGGACGTTTCGGGGCAGGAGACTGACTGGCGGAGCGCCGCTTTCAGACAGAAGCTGGTCAGTCAAATGTGAGTAGGGGCCAGAGCGGATGGCAGGATGACCAGACCTTCCGTCCTCGCGTGGCGGGCGAGGCTGGGGCTGAATCTGAAGTAGAACCCGCGGCGGGGAAAGCTGGCAGGGTCTCCAGGGCGCCCCTGACCTGCGAGAGTTCTAGGGCGTGGCCCTGCAGGGTGTCTCCTTCGTTGTCTTCGGGCAAGGACTGCTTGTTAGTTTTCTTGGGGCCGAACTCTGCAAACCAAGGAGCTCTAGTTTATGAGTCATCGTCCTGAGCTTTCTCATTCGTCCTTTTTGTGCCTTGGGTGCAGATTTTCCCCGGCTTTGATTCGCATGGGATGTGGAAAGAGAAGGAAGCCATCCTTAGTGGTTTTCGCCAGATGCTTTGTGGCTTAAGAAGCGCATCAGGATGAGAGAAAGCAATTGGAAGAGGGTTGATGGAAGATGAATATGGGAGGTGTTTGGGCTGTGAGCCGAAGGCACGGAAAATCTAACGGAGTGTGGGCTTGTCTGAAGGGTAGCAGAAAGCGGCTGTCAGGAAGCGGTCATGAATTCTAAAGGAGGGAGGGAAGACTTTGGGTTTAACGCCCCTCCTAACATAACTCCAGCTTGTCCACTGCTTGTTTCATATAGTAGTATTTACTGAGCTTACTGTCCTATTGTGTTTGCCACCAAATTGCCTGAGACAGTCCCTTCCCTGAGAGATGGAACTGTAGGTTAAGGAACAAACACAGAACGGTGTTGCCAGATGGCTTCCTGCAAGGAGACAGCTTGAACAGGACTGGAGAAGGCTTGCGGAGTAGGTGACCAGTAAAAGTGTGAAGGACCAAACAGGATCAGGAAGTGAGCGCTTACTGCATGAAGGACCTTTGTGGTAGGCTAAGAGTTCTGGCGTTAGGGAGTAAGGAAGTTCAGGGATATACTGGAATGAAGGTGAGCAGGTGCTAGCACGTTTCTAGTGGGTGTTGTACTAAGGAAGTGAGCCTATATTTGGCATGTCGCCTGCTTTGAGTTTGTGAAATACCAGTGTTAGGAAGATCTTCCAAGTCGCTAGAGATGAATCAAGGGCTGCGAGACCAGTTAGGCCATTTGGAGAGTTTTGAGATGTGGGGGCTTAGGGAACTGTCTCTTTTCATCCTTGTATTTCTACCTCTAGATTTCTGCTTTACTCTGTGACTTCTATAAAATCATCGTGGGATGACTAGGCAAAAGATTATAAAGGCCTGCTTTAGACCCTGATAGAAACTGAAAGAGGAAGATTGTAGAGAAAGGGGAGCGAGCAGACAATTCTTGATGACTAACAGGTTAGAGGGGGTGGGGTGAAGCAGTGTGGAAGGAAGGAAGCTGGACTGAATGCTGGGAAACCACAGTGGAAAGAACAGGAACCGTAACATTAGTGGCTCTGACCACTGCTATGGAATAGCATCTGGAAAACTTCGTGGACAGTGCAGAATCAGTGAACAGTGTTTTGTTGATGTACTTGAGTTATCTCTAGGTGAAATCTCAAAGGATAACCCACTTGAGGACTCTTGTTAGAAAAGCCTCTAGGGCAAGGATTTCTCTTTGGGAAATCCCAGTGAAGGAGAACTAGAAGAATGTGTTGTTATCACAAGACACTGGGGAAAGGCTGGAGAAGTGTCAGAGGGCTGGAGGGAAGATTGAAGAGTTTTGAGAGTTTGAGGCTGACCAAATATTTCATAATTCAGCTTCCTTGTGCTTTCCAAGAGCTTAGTTCTTTTCTTTTCTTTTTTTTTTCCTGTGTATTATTTTACTGTTGCTGTCATGACAGATTACTACACATATTGTACCTTAAAACAACACAGATTTACAGATTTAGCCAGGATGGTGGTGTATGCCTGTAATTCCAGCTTTTGGGAGGCTGAAGCAGGAGGATTGCTGTGAGTTTGAGGCCAGCCTGGGCTATGTAGTGAGCTGAAGTCCAGCCTGAATACACAGTGAGACCATCTTTTTAAAAAAAAAAAAAAAAAAGTTTTATTGTCTACTCATTTCTGTAGATCTGAAGTTTTAATTGCGTCTCCTGTTTTAAATCTTACATGGCTAAAATAAAAAATTTGACAAGATGTATTTCTCTGTCCATTTTTTCTTTTTTGTCTTTTGAGATAGGGTTTCACTATGCAGTTTAGGCTGACCTTGAACTCACTTTATAGCCCAGGCTGGCCTCAAACTCAGCAATCCTGCCTCAGTCTCCTGAATTACAGGTATGGGCCACCATGCCCTGCTCAAGATGCATTTCTTCCTGGAGGCCCTGGGGTATAATCTGTTCCCAAGCCCATTAAGGTTGCTGGCCAAATTCAGTTCCTTGCACTTATAAAATTAAGATGCACTTTCCTCTGTGTTTGCTAAGGGTTTTGTTGTTCTTAAAGGTTGTTTCCTCTTCATACTTACTATGTGCTTCCTTTTAGCAGCATCCTGTTCTTTTACTACATCTCTGACTTCAACTAGAGAAACTTCTCTACTCTGTCCTGCTCAGGTTAGTATAGGGCCCACTCTGGTAACTCAAGATAATCTTATTATTATCCTTTTTTTTTTTTTTGGTACCAAAAATTGAATTTGTGACCTTGCGCTTGCCACAGCACTGTGCCTTGAGCTATGTATCTCCAGCCTGGTAATGTTTAAAGTGGGTATCCTTGATTACACCTGCAAAGTTCTTTTGCTACATAATGTAGCATATTCACAGGTTACATATGTTAGAGACTGTATCTTTTGGGGGAGGGACAGTCTCCTGCCACAACTGGAAGAGCAGTTTCAAAGGTTCCCTTCTGAATGTGGGGTGGGTGTTTTCAATTCTCAGGTTTATCTGTTTCCTGTCTAGGTTTCATTTTCCTGGTGTCTTTGTTTATTGTGTTTACAGTATTAAAAGAGAGGATTTACTTTTGGGTCTTCTACACATCTTTAATTCTAACTTGCTCTGATGTTTATGCTGTTGTTGGCCATTTTGGGAAATGCTTTCAACCAAAGTGATTTATAGGTGATGAGGGAATAAAGAAAGAATAGAGCTAGCGATGTAGCTCGGTGGTAAAATGCCTGCTAACATGCATAGAGCCTTGTGTTTGATCTGTAACACCAAATAAAATATTTTTAAAAACATAGCAAAGAACTAGGAGGCTTAAATTGAAGGGAAAGTGTTTGACTGTCAATTTGCTGTCTCCACCTGTCTCTTGAGGATCTACTGAGGCTAGGGCACAAAGCCACAGACTGTGGGATAATCTGGTGTTCCGAATCTTTGAGAAAAAGCAGCTTTGAGTTGGAGCTGGTTAGGAGAGCCCTAAGTAGCCTGTGTGGAGAATCTCTTTGGACTTCTTAGTTCTCCTCCACTCCGTTTACCTGTCTAGGTCTTTACTGGACTTCCACTCACTATCTTCCTAGCAGATCTTTCCTTCCTCTGTAGCACAAGTGAGGGTGATGTGTTAGCACATAGCTCAACAGGCTTGTGCCACTCCCCATCAGTGACTTCTCTTAGCATTAAAATAAAATTGCAAGCGTTCCCATTCTGTAGCCCTGGCCTGGTTTATCTTGTACTTCCCACTCTACTGTAGCCTCTCTGATCCTTCTGCTACTTGAATATGCAAGCTCTTTTTGGTTTTCTTTTTCTTTCTTTCTTTTTAAATGCCAAGAGGTGAATTTAAGTTAGTCGTATTCATGCTAAACGTACTAGAGGTATACTTTCAGTCTCTGACCTCGCCCCTCTTTTTTCCTTCCCCTCCCCTCCCTTCTTTCCCCTTTTCTCCACTCTACTCCTTCTCCTCTCTACTCCCCTTGGCCTTTCCTCCCAGTAACTAAACATTAAACCCAGGGCCTCATGAATGCCAGGCAGGTAAATGCTCCAGCAATACTGGGCTACATCCCCAGTCCTTTTCATTTTTTTTACTTTGAGACCTGTTTCACTACATTGGCTTTACTTTTTTCGTGTTTTGGGCACAGGGTCTCACTATACAGGTCAGACTGGCCTTAAGCTCACTTTTTTTGTGCTCTAAGCTTGCAATCCTCTTGCCTTAGCCTCCTAAGTTCCTGGGATAACTAGCCATTACACCCAGCTGTTTCTCTGTCTTTCTCTCTTTTTGGAAATAGGGTTTTGCTATGCAGTTCAGGCTGACCTTGAACTCTCTTTGTAGCCCAGGCAGGCCTCAAAACTCACAGCCATCCTTCTGTCTCAGCCTCCCCAAGTGCTGAGATAGGCATGTGCCACCATGCCAAGCTTTATTTAATGGTGGGGGTAGGGGGATTACTGAGTATCAAACTCAGGGCCTTTTGTTTGCCAGGCAGTTGTGCTACTGAGCTATATTCTAGCCCTTCTTTTATTTTTTATTTTTGTCTTTTGAGATAGGGTCTCAGAATGTAGTTCAGACTGTCCTTGAACTACGTAGCCCAGGCTGGCCTTGAATTTGTGGCATTCTTCCTGCCTCAGTCTCCCAAATACTAAGATTACAAGTGTGCGCCAGCACTCCTGGCTGGTCTCTTTTTAACAGTGTATTATCAAGTACTTAAGATATACTCTGTGGGTACTTTTCACCCCACTGTCATTATGAGCAGCTCCTTCTCTTTAGGTGTCTGTTTATATTATCAAATACTCAGGAATTTCCCTGCTCCTTGTCTAAAGTGGATGGCTAAGACTTTATGGACTTTTGAGGGGCAAGTTCAGTGACACAAGGAGCTGACTGGGGGGCTCCCTTATGCAAGTGGGAAAGGTATCCAGGCCTGGGTGGGGAAGATGGAGGAAGTGGTCACTGGGAAGATAATCTGTTGTTTTTGGGATTCAG